CTTTTTAACCCCCCCCCCCCTTTTTTTTTTTTCTTTTTAATTTTGTTCTTGAATGTGTAGCAGCACAAGTGGCCTTGAAAAGGGGAGTGCTTTGCACTAACACCCCCACCCCCCCCAGCTCCTTCCCTGATGATACCACTTCCCCTGAGCTAGCTAGACGGTGCTCACTAATGTAATTGTAGCTCTACCACAGACTGAGACAAAAACAACAACAAAACAAACCCTGAAAATATATGAATAGTTTTTAAACAAAAGTAAAAAAGTGCCTGGGGTGGTTTCTGCATGTGTTTAGGGCGAGTGGACTGCTGAATTATTATTATTATTTTTTTGTTGTTCTTATCTGCTTCGACCACACTGCCAGTTCTCTTAAAAGCCCATCTTATGTAACTGAACTGGGTGAGTCTGCAGGAAGGACTTTGAACTGGAAGTTTGTTATGCCCCCTCCCTCTGACCCCTCCTTCGAAATTCTCTTCTCCTGTTGCTGGTCACTGGCTTTGTTTTATTATTATTATTATTATTATTTTTAATTTGGGAAGGAAGTCTTGATATCAAACTGATCATTAAACCTGTACGACTTTGTCCTGCTCCCACCTTCTCATCTTTACCGATCTGGGGATTTCCAGCGTTCCCATGGTGCAGTTGTACATCCTACGACTTTAAGATCGGATCTCCAAGCTATTTTACTTTATCCCCCTCCTCCTCCTCCCACTTTACAGCCTGCTCAGAGTAGCACTCTGTACTCATTACATCCCTGTTGCTTTCATTATTTGATAATTATTTTTTATTAATGTTGTTATTATTACGGTTTATTATTTGAGAAAAAAAAACTTTCCAGACAGAAGGTTTGCGTGTCACTGCTTATTTAACTTATCAGAACATATTTATTGGTGATCATATGCATTTTTTTGTTAATTTTGTTTTTTGTATTTATCTGGATAATGAACAATAGAATATATTTTCTTTTATGTTAAATTATGATCTTCCGTATTAATCTAAAGATTGTGAAGACTTTTTTTGTCAGTTTTCCTTTTTTTTTTCTTTTTTTTTCACAGTTTAATATATTGTACTTCAATGACTTTTTGTTCTGCAACTACACTTTGTCAAAAAAATGAAACTAATTTAAAGCAAAAAAAAATGCAAAAAAAATACATTTTGTGTTTTTGATTATTTATTATACTTTTTGTTCTTACTCCCTCTCATTGGACTGCAATTCCACCTGAAATGCTTGTGTTCATTCTTGATGTTTCCCTCCATATTTTACAGTAATCTGACAGGAACAGTTGCTAACTGTTGTTACATYAATTCAGTATCTTATTTTATTTTTTTTGAGAACATTTCCCCGATTTGAAGAGACGTGTCCTTGTTGGGTGGATGGTAGTTGATGGAAAAGGATACCCAAAAAGAAAAAATATCACCTTGCATCACATTTTTTTAGGAGATTCTGAGTTGGAAGACCGGTTATGTTGAAATGTTTCTGTTTTTGCATCCAGTCTGTTATTACAAGCAATAGCTGTGACCAAATGGGTTGAGGAAAGTACATTTTCTTTTATTATTATTATTATTATTATTATTTGTCTGATTGGATGCTTGATGCACTTGCTTGGCCCCCTCCTGACCAGCAGAAGTGCCTCGTTGAATACATTCCAGGTAGCTATTTACGCCTTCTTGGCCTTTTTTTTATATATTTGATAATGGAGGACATTTTTTAAGTCACTTGCTCTGTGTTGCCTTCRAGTGTTTGGAAAGAGGTGAACAGATTCTGACACAAAGAAAGTACAGCAAAGCTATTGAATGTATTTTTTTCTCTCTCTCTCTCTTTCTCTCTTTAGCCATGTGTTTTCACTACAGTAATTTCTGTGAGTTTATATGAAAACTGTTTTCTTTCTTTTTTTGTAAGTATTGATTGCAGTTAAGTCAATAAACCCCATATTTTTTGGAAAAGTTAAGCTGTGTTTTGAGTTTTTATGCATTTGACTCTTGATTTTTGGGAGGACTTGGTACCTTYTTTTTATGTACACATTGAAAAAGTTCATTTTAATCAGATTATATTTCTAACAAACTTAACTTGGGATAGTTTGTTGAGAGTGGAGGCTCTTAGAAAGCTTATGCCAGTCTTATTTGTCTCAAAATCAAAGCACATGATAAACTTAAATGGCCCAAAATAATCAGTTTTAATGGTTGCATGACTCCAAACACAAACCTCTCTTCTTTAACATCCCTTTTAATGATGCCAATTTTTCCAAATCTTACAAAATGAGCAATAAAAACAGTTTGAACTCTTGCAAAAGTCCTGTCCAAACAGCAAATGGATCCCGGCTGGGCTCCCCTGCACGTAACRCCGAGTCCGAAGGGTGTTTCTCAGCAGTGAAAGTTGATTGGTGAGCTCCTCAGACCACAGTCCGGGGTCCTGACCTGGAGGTAATCAAAGTCTGAATGAGCAGGTCTGGTTACACAAAGAATAAACAGTCCTGGTTTCAGCTAAAACATTGATCAGATTGTGGTGTAACCATAAAGTTTCCCAGAAAAAAAAAAAAAAGATTAGCTAAGGCAACGGTGCGTCTGTCCAATCTGTTCCTGGTAAAGAAAAAACAAACAGTTGAGTCATTCATGTGTTTGCAGTTCATCATAATTTCAAAGTATTCCTATTATTATCACCCAAAGGTGAAAGTGCAGTAACCTATTTGCACATAAATGCTGCCTCAGCTTCTATTCAGTTCTAGACATTTTTTTGTATGTGTAATGTGGCCTGGATGTGGTGGCCATCTTAAATCCAAATACAACAAAACAGCAAAAGCTTCAATCAGCAGAACTGTTGCTACAAACTAAATGCAGCAAAACGGTAGTTTAAAGCTAACATTTGCTAAATTGACAGCCAATGATTGTTATCTGAAAGTTTTTTTCAAATAAATCCAGTGGTTCAGCAGATATTTTGCTAACAAACAAAGAGGACTTTCTGAAGAGGATTTAACTAAACTCAAAAGGCTGCCAAGGATACTCAAGAAAATCTGGGCCTTTAACAACTTTGCATTTTTTCATAACAAAGATAAAAACCTGTTTATTCTTTAAAACAAGCAGTTACACATTTGATTTCAGTACAGTGGATCTTCTCTCTTTGTGCACGCTCAACATCACCCCCCCACAAAAACCAGTCTCTCTCTGGACACATCCGTCTGTCCATGTTTATACTCTCTCAGATTGCAAATAGGAGCCTGAACAGGAAGTCCCTTCCCTCCGTACAATGGTGGGTGCTGACCTGTCTCAGCTGACCCGTGGAGGCCTCCATGTTGCTTTTAGGCCTTATAGATCCTTGTCTGGTTTCTTTGACGCTCCCCAACCCAGCCTGCTGCCACTCCCAGTTTGAAAACAATCTGCCATCCTGCTTTGAGTAAATCTCTTCATCTCCTGTAAGCTGACGGGAAACAGCCCCCCTCAAAAATAGTGTTTTATAATCTTAAGTTGTTTTGATTAGATGGCTGATGACTCACGACTCCATATTGCCTGGATTTACCGCATGTGACACGTACTTTACAAGCAGAGATAGTTAAAAATCCTCTGAATGAGAAAATGAAACTAAGCTTCTTCACTTAGGAAACAAATCTAATGCATCTAATCGACATTAACCAACACAACAATGTCTATAACCTAGTAAAGTTTACAGATATTGATTTAAAGTTGGATGTGGTAGTGGCTGAGTCCTCCTCATCACATGCTATGAGTGCTGATTGATCTCACATCTACATAATGTTATTTACACAGTTTGAATAGAATGGCTTTAATGCTATTCTTTCTCAGCATGAGATAAAACTCTGACGTAAAAGGCGAGGGTGGTGATATGCATTTCTTTCAAAACTGCTAGGCATTTCATTGCTTAAGTGTTGTTCCCTAGTGTTTCTGCAGATATGCATGACATACATTGTAGATTTTTTTTGAAGGGGAAGTACAGGGTGGCAACATCAAAACTTTTTTTTTTTTACATGTTAGACTTTATTAAGATCAAAAACAGGCCTAATGGAAAGGTCTCTCCTAAAGCAGGTGAGTGTAAATCATGCAAAGAAGTGAAAATGTGCAGTTTGGTGCACATGAAAGAGGGCTGTTTCCTGTTTGTGTGCTGCGTTTGTCTATGTGTGTGCGTGTGTGCGTACAGGCACCTTAACAAAGTACCAGGAAGTGGGTTTGTGAACCTGTGAAGGTGGCGGATAGAGGGGGTCGCATGTTCTTTGAGATGTGGCAAAGAAGAAAAAAAAAAACTTCCATTACTTCGTCAAATTTCAGAGCAAGTTACTTTCCAATATGAAGACAGAGGTGGTGACACAGATAAAGTATGTGGTTTATTCATGCCTACAACAGGAAAAAGTGACGGTGTCGATGTACTTTTGGTGCCCAATCTTCATTCACCCTTAACCCTGAGATGTTGGGCAAGAGAATTTTCGCAGCATGTGCTCTTTGTAACGGCATTATCAAAGAACGCTCTACCTTCTTGTTTGAGAAGGAGGTGAGCAAACAGTGCTGATGTGCTAACCAAGGCTTATCTGCACTCAGAGCTGAGAGCGGCGGAGCTGCAGCTCTGCGCTCAGGCAAGTCGCTGTGCCGCCGCAGGTGTTGTGGAGGAGATGATTAATCACCACACGAGGGCTTAGGTTAACGCGAAGAGAGAGCAGGTTAGGTTACAGCCTTTTGTCTGAAGAAAACAGAGGCGCACATTTAGACTCACAAATACCAGAAGTTAAAGCTGCAGAAGCATCCATCTGAGCAAACAGCACCTGTGATCACAGAAATCTGTTGGTAGAAGAAGAAAAATGGAAAACATTCTAGAGACAAACCTTCACAAACTTCAGAAGTTCTAGAAATTAGTCAGGTGTAGATGCACATTTTATTCCTGCGTTTCTTTAAAAGTCTACGGAGCCCACGAGGCAACATGGGGGGATTTCTTTTCTTTTGCGTTCCTTCGCAATACTTTTGCGTTACCTCGCAATATCTTTGCGTTAACTCGCAATACTTTTGCGTTACCTTGCAATACTTTTGCGTTCCTTCGCAATACTTTTGCGTTACCCTGCAATATCTTTGCGTTAACTCGCAATACTTTTGTGTTACCTTGCAATACTTTTGCCTTACTTTGCAATACTTTTGCCTTACTTGCAATATCTTTGCTTTACCTCACAATACTTTTGCGTTACCTCGCAATCGTTTGCGTTACCTCGTAATACTTTTGCTTTACCTCGCAATATCTTTCTGTTACCTCGCAATACTTTTGCGTTACCTTGCAATATCTTTGCRTTACTTTGCAATGCTTTTGCGTTACCTCGCAATATCTTTGCGTCACCTTGCAATACTTTTGCGTTAGCTCGCAATATCTTTGCGTTACCTCGCAATACTTTTGCGTTACCTCGCAATACTTTTGCGTTACCTCGCAATACTTTTGCGTTACCTCGCAATATCTTTGCGTTACCTCGCAATACTTTTGCGTTACCTTGCAATACTTTTGCGTTACCTCGCAATACTTTTGCGTTCCTTCGCAATACTTTTGCGTTACCTTGCAATATCTTTGCGTTACTTAGCAATGCTTTTGCGTTACCTCGCAATATCTTTGCGTTACCTTGCAATACTTTTGCGTTAGCTCGCAATATGTTTGCGTTACCTCGCAATACTTTTGCGTTACCTAGCAATATCTTTGCGTTACCTCGCAATACTTTTGCGTTACCTTGCAATATCTTTGTGTTACCTCGCCATACTTTTGCGCTACCTCGCAAAATTGTTTTGCGTTCCCATGCAAAAGTTTGATTTGTGTATGAACTGAATTAAATCAGACTTTTATTTTGAAATATCTGGTTACCAAAACAGGATGTGTCGCCACAAGTTCGTGAAATTGACATTGATGTTGCGTGGCTGAATTGTGTTAAAATATCGACATATGACACACTTCCATGTGTGGCTGTGTAATATATTCATTCTGAAGCTGAATTAAAGCAATAGGCTAACTCGCTAATGGTGAACATGTGAGTTTGTTAATAAACCGGCAGGCACAACAGTGATAAACGACTTTTGTGAGGGAACACGAAAGGTATTGCGAGGTAACGCAATACTATTGCATGGGAACGCAAAAGATAAAAAAGTCTCCCATGTCCCCTTGCGGGCTCCGTAAAAAGTCATCTAGTGGTTCATGAGGTATTTCTTATACAAATCCAACATACAAATACATGTACATTATTGCACACCTTTCCCATTTGGAGAGCAGGCGATAAAAGATGTTGAGTTCTCTGCTGTAAATGATCTCTGATCACCTTATCACTCTCCAACTAAAAAGTCTCTTCAACAGGAAATCAAGAAACTCTGTACTCAGATTAGATCTCAGGAAAACTTCTTTTTGCATCAGAAACACTTCATCCAATCCAAACACACTATGTTTCAACACTGATAATGTGAATTGTGTCTGTGTTTGTTTATTTATCTGTTGAGCAAAATGCCTTATGAAAAACTAGGTGGATTTTAACGAAATGTGCAGATACAGTATTAATCATTGGATGCACATCTACAACTGATTAACCTTTGGAATGAACCCCATTCAAGATGGCCACTCCAGCTAAGTGAGCTTAGCAAACAAAAAGATTGCTACAACTCAGCCAGTTGTATAAAAATTGAGATAAACATTAATGTGTTAGTAGATGAGCTCCATGCTCATACATACTTTGAGTGCCACACATTGTTCAGGATTTTTGTGTAAAACTTTGCCATTAACTACTGAAGTTCACTATATTTGTCTGAAAGATTTCTCATAAAAGACAGGATGGATTTTAATGAAATTCTCAGAAAGTCATTGGATGATGAAACTGAATGACTGACATTAGCCAACATAAGGATGTCTATAAGTTAACTCACTGAAATTTATAGATATCAAACTATAAATTGGTGTGTTAGTAGCTGAGAGTGAACTTTGTGCACTAAAAATGTGAAAAATCTCACCATATTTCATAAAATTGTGCATTATGTTATTTTCAGGTTGACTAAAACAGCTATAATTGTATTTCTCATTATAAAATCATCTTAATTTAAAACTCAAGTAAGAAAGGCAGCTTTGTTTTGATTAAATTACTCTAAATTCTTGATTACCAACCACAACTCAGCAACTCATTGCGCTGACTTGTTTTTTAAAGCAAATCCAAATTATTATTTTTTAAATCGATGTCATCATGTGAAGTATGTTACAATTTGATTTTGAAATAAATCATTAATCAGCTTTATTTATCAGTCAGATGAAAGTTTAAAGGTTGCCGGCGAAAAGCTGGCAGAGGTGACTGAGTGACAGGAGCTTGTGTTTGTTCAAACGCTGCCATGACAAGCGAGTAAAGAGGAGTGAGACAGGCCTGAACATGGCAACTCAGTGCTGGGCTGCATCCAAAGGGGAGGAGGACTGTAAAAAACAACAAATTTTAAAACCAAAATCACCTTATAATCAGATGATACGGACTTATAGAATATGTGTTATTAAGGAGTTTCAGTTACTTGTACTACTACTACCACATCAAACTTTTACTCAGTATCTGTAAAATTCACTGTGTTGTTGCCATTTTTGTGTTTTCCAAGTTTGCTTGACTGTGGCAGCCATTTTGAATCAGCTGATTCCAAAAGATAATCATGCACAAGCAAGTTYATCCAATGACTTTCTGAACTTTTCGTTAAAATCAGTTCAGTGGTTTGTATGATATTTTGTTAACAGAAGAAGATGACTCAAACACTTAGTAAACAGGATTCATTAGTCAAAGGTTGGCAGTTGAAGATGACTCTCCACTATTAACACAGAACTTTAGGTAGCCATTGTGAATTGGGTTGACTCCATATGTTAATCAGAGTGTACACCCAGTGACTAATTTCTGAGAGTTTAATTGATTTCTGTCCATGGGTTCATGAAATGTAGTGCTGCCAGGACGTGAAATATCATACAGACAGGCAAAACTGGAAAGGCCTTCAGTGGTGGGTGTTAACAACAGTTTTGAGTTGTTGTTTTCAATAACCAGGCTAACTTTTTTATTAATATCAACCAATAACAATGCGTATCTCTTTGTTCTTTGTATTCAAACACTGCAGCAACATGTTTTTGTACAGAGGTGGTAAAGATAACAGATTTTATCTACACAAACTGACAGAAGTGACAAATTAGGTGACAGAACTTGAAGTGAACGAAGTAGGAATGGAATTACTGCAGGTTTCACAACTTTTTGCACGTGAGACAGCCGCTTGTTGGTCAAAAATACCCAATTTTCTTATTCAGATTTTGACTTGAAACTCAGAAGTTCAGACTTTTTAATATAAACAAAATGCACCATTAGAAGCACTTTTGCAGGCAGCAGTAGCAATACATAATACATCCCAGTATGGACCAGTACTGATACACTTGTCAATGACCTGGTATTT